TCCTGCTGGGTTTTTTTTAATCTATACAAATAAAAAGCCTTAGTTTTCAATTCAATCATACATGAACATAATAGGAAAACTAATTTTTAAAGGTTTAAGTGTTTGGAATTACCCATCTGTGGCTATCATTATGGATTTACACCTGCAAAAGGAACAAAACTCTCTATATTAATTTTAAATCTTTAAACAGTCTGGATACGTCTAGACTAAATGCTTCTTTCGAAAGAAGCTTTTTTGAAAGAATCTTTCAAAAAAAAGGCATTCTTCCTCGTAAAATGAGGTTTACTACTTTCAAAAAAACCACTGTGTTCTTTTGATTTAATTTTGAATAAACGTAGCGGCAGTCTAGAGGCAGGTGACTTTTTTTCGAAAAAAGGCCACTTTAAAAAAAACAACAACCCTGTAGTCTAGACATAGCCTCAGTGTGTGTACATATATGCTCTTGAAGTATTAAGAATCAGGATATTAAGATAGGTCTGGCCATGTCATGCTACTAGCTTGTAGGAAAATGGGGGAACACTCCTATCTTGCCTCCGTTCACTAGCAGAGCAAATGTAGCCTTCCTATTACATTCTCTCTTGCTACAGTTCACCTCATCCTTGGAGGTAAAGGGATATGAAGTTTCTTGCAGGAGAATTCCTTCCCTTGAGTGGACAGAGTATGTACCAAGCATCCTCTAGACCAGTGTTTCTCAGCCAGTGGTACGAATACCCTTAGGGGTACTCGAGAGAAGTCTGGGGGTACATCAACACAACTGAAATGTGAAGAAAACTGAATTTGTGTTTTAAGTTTTACAGATTTTTATTATTTTTATACTTTTTACACCCAAAAATTTCATCGCCCATCCAGCTACGATTAAGTTGTTTAAACAAATGTGTTGCAACAGTAGAAAAAAAATGTGTGTGCCTGAAAACTGTAGGTACTGAGGGAACTTATATATTTTTTAAAGGGGTACTTTATAAAAAAAGGTTGAGAAACACTGATTTAGACCACCATGAGAGTGTAAGATTGGACTTCAAACAGATAATTTTGAAAGTGTTTTCTCCATGGCCATATTATTATGACTATCAGTAAATCTACGTCTGGCACTTAATAGATTTTTGAATCACTGAGTCATAGAGATAAATGTATTTTTGAAAAAAGTATGGATTTTTTATCTTTTTACTTTTACATAGATTATTTGTATTGTAATGTTGCATAAGTGTAGAGACATTGCCTTTAAATTCACATTGTTATAAAATATTAGAAATAATTTAACTTCAGTTTTCTCTGTTTTACAGAAGTATTTAGATCCTGTTTATTTTTATATCTACACTTTGTTTGGACTTCAGGCACTTTATGTCATTGCTTTGTATGTGACCAGCTGGCTTCTTAGTGGAACATGGCTTTCAGGTTTGTTAGCGTCTTTCTGGTATATTACAAACAGGTAAGTGAATTTACATGTGACTCTTCTTACGTTTTTGTTTCTAACACAAGGTGAAGATGTATTAAATAGTCAGTTGCTAGAATTAAATTGGGTGTAAGAGAGAGTTTAGAATAGCAGAGGTGTGTCACTTTAGATCAACCAGATATTTAAAATCATTACAAATGATTACAAATAAGCTGAAGCTGCAAAGAATCAAAAGTTTGAGGAAACTAAGAATATGGCATGTCCACGTTCTTTTTGGACTCAGCTGAAGTGGGAGTGGAGCCACCTGTGCAGTTCCCAGATTATGTAGCCCTTCTGGGCCATCATCATACCCTCTCCCTATAAGTTAAATTACTCTATGAGGTGCAGTGATTTATACCAGATGCACCATAGCCCCAAGAATTTAGGGTGACCAGAACTTATGTCCTGAAAGCTCCCCTGAATTAAAGATTCTTTAAGGGATAAGATGGTGGTAAGGCAGTGCAAAGCAGCTAAAGTGAAGCTGGCTCTTGGACTTTCAGTTGTTTTCTGTAACTTAAATAAAGAAAATAAAAGCATAATGCCAATGCTGTCAAAGGTGTGCCAAAGTTATTTGAAATATTAATCAGCAGTTGTGATTACTGTAAAGGAGTTTGAACATAAGAATGACTATATTGAGTCGGACCAAAGGTCCATCTAGCCCAGTATTCTGTCCTCTGACAGTAGCCAATGTCAGATGCCCCAAAGGGAATAATCAGAACAGGTAATGATGAAATGATCCATCCACTGTTGCCCATTCCCAGCTTCTGACAAAGAGAAGCTAGGGACCATCCCTGCATATCCTGGCTAATAGTTATTTGTTACCCCAAATGTCACTGGAGACCACCCAGGGTTACACTCATATGGATTTATTAAATGAGGAATTAACAATCCACTACAGGGTTAAACTCAAGGGCTATGTCTACACTGGTGGGTTCTTGCGCAAGAATGGCCGTTCTTCCGCAGAGCGTCCACACTGCTCGCCCGCTCTTGCACAAGAAGATTGACAGTAAAGTGTGGGAAGAGAGGGCTGCTTGCACAAGAGCAATGCTCTTGTCTAACAAGTGTAAGCTCTCTTGCACAAGAGCTCTTGCGCAAGAGGGCAGTGTGGAGGGCGGGAGGGGTTTCTTGCGCAAGAAAGCCCTATGGCTAAAATGGCCATCAGAGCATTCTTGCGCAAGAGAGCGTTCACACTGCCATGGATGCTCTTGCGCAAAAGCACATGGCAGTGTGGACGTGTTCTTGTGCAATAGTTCTTGCACAAGAACCCTTGTGCAAGATGTTCTTGTGCAAGAACCTGCCAGTGTAGACCTAACCAAGGGGGTTGAGCAGTCATTGAATGCCACTATAGGAATAAACTGAATGGGATTGAGCTAACTCTCTCACACACACAAACACACACATTCATTCATGTCCTCAGGCACTCACACACTTACACAGGCAAAAGATTGCAGAGCTAGCCAAAGCATATTGACTCCGGAAGTTTGCCTCTAGCCATGGATCCCACTGGGGAGCTGGTCAGAAAGAGGGCTCTGCCATGTGCTCTCTCCTTTTATTGGAACTGGGCTGCTCCTGTCACTCACACACGGGTCCTTCCTCCAGATTCCTCACTGAGGAGCCTGCCCAGACCTCCCTCAGTTCTGGTTCTTTGTTTGCTTAGTAAAGCCTTGTATCTTTAATTAGTCACCTCCTGGCTTCATGTGTTTAGTCTTGCTGTTTCCTTCACCCCAAACACCTCCATTCACACACACAATCTTATCACAGGGTGGAATGCTGTTTAGAGCAAGTTATAAGCCAAATGGCTGATTTTTGCTTGTAAAGATTTTTGAGTCTGTACCTCCTAAACTCAAAACTCTGGTCATCTGAAGAAGTGGGCTGTGCCCACGAAAGCTCATGATACCATTTACATGTTTTGTTAGTCTAATAAAGTGCTACCAGACCATTTGTTGTTTTTTAAGTTTATCCTGTACTGACTTGGCCCCTAGTTTGAACTAGGGAGGCAAATGAAGCATACCAAAGTTGCAAATCAATAGCATAATTGCGGCCGGTCGCCATTTTAAAATGGCGGTCGCCCGATTTAACTTGCCGTGTGTAGACAAACCTTTCCCTCGAATTAACTGTTACTCCTCATTGCATATTTAAATCCCGCATTTGATTTGCAACTTTGGTATGCTTCATTTGCCTCCCTAATTCGAACTAGGGGGCAAGTGTAGACATACCCTAACTCGGATACCCCTTTAAGCTTCCGAAAGATTACAGAGTTGCAAAGCTCAACGATCACCAAGCTTATAGTAGGTTTCTGACCTTATAAAGCAAAGTGGCGGAGAGTTACAAAGCTCAACAATCTTACAACAAGGTGCAAAATTTAAAAAGCAAGGTAGCTGAAAGTTACAAAGAAACAAGTACAAAGCTTCAAAGCTCAATAGTTACAAAGATAGCTTGCAGAGCACAGCATCTGTCTGAGAACAATTTCCATCTTAACCATCAGTAATAAAGTGACTTGGGGCGTATCTAGACTACATGGAATGGTTGAAAGAAGATATGCAAATTTTGTGGGAATTTACATATCTTCTTCGAAAGAGGAGCTTTAGCAAGTGAAATTAATTAAGACGCGGCTTTTTCGGAGAACCGTCTCCTTTGTTGAAAAGCCGCTTTTCCTCAAAAAAGGAGGTTTGCGTGGCTTTTCAACAAAGGGGCAGGGAGAGGTTGCCCAAAAAGTTGCATCTTAATTACTTTCACTTTCGAAAGTTCTGCTTTCGAAAGTGCAATCAGAAGAAGATATGCAAATTCCATGGGAATTTGCATATCTTCTTTCCACCATTCTCTGTCGTCTAGATGAGCCCTTAGAAAACAACTGCCCCCCTTAAACGATGTACCACAGTAATGCAGTAAGCAGCAGGTTTTGTCATTCTCTAAGTCATATGTTGGCAGGGCCTTTCAGTTTAATGCATTTCCACAAAATTTGTGTGTAAATCAAGTAGTGGCTCGGGCGGAGGCTTTATGCAACATTATTGATGGACCTATCCTCCATGAATTTATGTTTGACTGTAAGCAAATCAGTTATAAAGTGTTTCCTTATACATATCTAGTTATAGTTAGTGCTGTAGAGGAGAAAGTAATTTTAAATTATATACAGTAGAACATATATTTAAGAGGTCAATGTTTTCCACATATGGAAGACTTGGAATGGACTTGTTTTCTCTCCAACGTTCTAATAAAGAGTTTAGAATAAAAGGATGTTACTTATCCAGATAAAATGACTACATGGGATAAATTTGGACAATTGGGGTACTCTGTCCAAAGGGTGCACGTCTAGCGTAATGGAATTGCTATTTGAAATAGTAGTGTCTTCCAGATAAGAAAGGTTCAGACAAACAAGTTATATTTTCAGTTTTAGGAAACACTTTCACTATATAAGGAGAAATAGACAGGGGATTATTTATGTTTGTCTGAGATTTTGGAGGTGACTGTGCTGAATGGTTGCCCTTGTCTTTGACAATAACACTTCTAGTGTCAGAATGTTTCAGGAAGGCCAAGAAGTCTCTTGCTGTCCAGTTCAATGGGATTCAGTCATGCTATTAATATAATGCATTTGAATTGCAGTGAGGATAATGACAGATATCTGTTCAACAATGCCTCCCGAAAACCAAACTGAGAAGAAATATATTACCGTAGATCTGGAAAGTCAACACTTTTTTCTTTAGATCACCATAACTCTGCTCTGTAAGGGTATGTCTGCACTGCATGCCTCTTTCAAGAGAGGAATGCAAATGCAGATGAACGAAATTCCAAGTGAAGCGCGGATTTGAATTTCCCACGCTTCATTTGCATAATCGCATCTGGACGCTTTTTCAAAATACCCTATGTCGAAAAAAGAAAAGCTGTGTAGAAAAGCTGTTATTTTGAAAGAAAACCCTTCTTTCGAAATAACCCTTAAATCTCATTTTATAAGGAGTAAGGGTTATTTAAAAGAAGGGTTTTCGTTCGAATTAACCGCGTCTACACAGTGTTTCTTTTTTTGAAATAGGGTATTTCAAAAAAGCGGCCGGACGCGATTATGAAAATGAAGCACAGGAAATTAAAATCTGCACTTCATTTGCAATTTTGTTCGTCTGCATTTGCATTCCTCTCTCGAAAGGGGAATGCAGTGTAGACATACCCTAAGAGGGGTTTGGCTCCACAGTAACGGCTATCTGTAAAAAAGGGGAGTTAAATATTCAAGAGGAAGATATTTTGGCCACAAAAAGAAATGAACTAATTCGTAAAACACTAGAACAGGAAGGCTCTTCTTGGCAAGTTTTCAGGGCTAGGGATGACAAGAAGATTCGCTAGTCAGCTACCTAAGAAACAATTTGCAAGAGCCTAGATATGATCAAAGTAATCTACTGGTAGTTTTCCAAATACAATTTCAATTTTAATTGAAATCTTTTTTTCAGGAGACTGGGTTTTGGTTGCATTTATGAATCTCTGTATTTGTTTTGTGCAGAATAGATACCACAAGAGTAGAATTCACCATTCCATTAAGAGAGAACTGGGCACTGCCATTCTTTGCCGTTCAGATAGCAGCAATCACATACCTGTTCAGATCTCATCTACAGCCTCTTCATGAAGTAAGTATTTCTAACTTATTTGATATAGCAAAACTAGTATCTGAAATGTCAGGAGAGCTACTGAAACATAAGTGTGTGCTTCAGATAACTAACGATAAATAAGGCTGAAAGCACTATTCTTAATTTTTACAGCCATGGAAATGTACAAGGCACTGTACAAATAGATGGTAGAAAAATTGTTAATCTGCTTCCCCCGCTGTGCCTCTGGCCAGCCCCACTTACCACAACCCCCTCCCAGGGGTTCTCCCGCACTTCTCCTCCCAATCTCCCTTGGCCAGCCCTGCTGCATCCTTGCCCCATCATCTCCCCTGGTGCCTGCTGCCCCCCAACTCCTCACCCTCCTCTGCTGTCCTGACTCCTGTCCTTCTCACTGCCCTCAGCCCTTCTGCGACCTGCCCCCCTCCACCAGCCCTTCTTTCCCCCTGGTGCCCACTCCTCCATTAGCCCCACTCTGATCATGTGAGCTACCCCTTTTCTAACTCCTGTCCTGCCTCTCTCCTCTGGTGCTGGTCCCTCCCCTGCAGGTGTCTGCCCTTCTGCTTCACCCCATAATCTCCTGTCACCTGCACCTTCCCTTAGCCCTGCATCCTCCTGGTGCCTCGCCCTTCCCTTATTGCTCTGGGAGCGTAGAACACCCCGGCAACCACTATGAGGCCCGGTATCGGGCCACAGCCCATAGTTTGGGAAACACTAGCCTAGTGAGATTGCGGAATCTCCATCACTGGAGATATTTAAGACCAGGTTAGACAGACACCTGTCAGGGGTGAGCTAGGACAACTCAACTTTGGAGCCCCAGGGGCCACGCTGATACTTACAGAACATGCTGAGGACCTCAACTTAAGTGTTGTTGCATATGCAAGCAAATATATACAAATACCTTCTCTCACACTGACAGGCATGAATACAAAGATTAAGGCAAGACTACACAACACAGGCCCCATTTAAGTCAGTTCTGCTGATATTAATACAATTCAATATTTATCTGATTTCTACCCATGTGACAGCACTTTTCATGAGCAATGATAGTCCAAGAATTTAACTACTAAAACACATATCAACAGAAGATCATTACACTGACTACTTTTTTGTTTCGGCTCCCACT